AAAGAGTGGACGATATACGAATGATCAAGGGGGTTTTGCTTGCCTGGAAGCTCTGCTGAAAGGGGCTGATCGTCAGGAGTGTAGTCGAACTTGGGAGCAACGTCGGTCTCGGGGTCTAACGAAGAGAAGAAGGGGAAGGAATAGTAAATATAAAGCAAACAAATGCAACATGATGCATGACATGGCAATATGCCATGTTAGGGGCGACCTAATGCAGTACTAAGTGTTTTAGATGGAGCGGGAAAATATTCGGGAATATTTACCCAGCTCCAAACATTTATCGGTTAGATGATCAGGAGAGGAAGGTTCTATGTTTGCAGTGTTAGAGACATGTGACATGTATGTGGATGGCGTATTCGGATTCGTCTTATTTTTCTGATCAATTTTCATACACAAATTATTTTCATCCGAGTTAGGAATTATCTTATATGATTTTTTAAAGTTTGAATGGTTTTCTGGATTTTCTGGTATTAATAATAATTCAAATAATATTAAATGGAAATAGCTAGGCACACACCCAAAAGTGTACCCACCAGTGGGCACTGTGGGGCTGACAGGGGGGTCCCGTTGACTACCTAGTCAGCATATGACCAGTCAATGTTGACTGGTCAACTGGGCCAGCGGGGCCCAGGTGTCACAGGGTGTTAGATAACTAAAGTTGGTTTAATTAGTAGCGGGACCACATGTCAGGGACATTAAATAAATTAAAGGGTTAATTTTTGAAGGGTTGGTGTTAAACCTGTTTAGGCTAATTAAACTGGCCGACCAACAGGGGGGTTTGCACGCGTGCGCGTGTAGAGGCGGGCCAGTGGCCACAGCGCTCCGCCGGCAGTCAGCGGCAGAGGCAGGCGGGCACGCTAGGGAGTGGTAGGGCGGTACCGGGCAAGCAGGGGTAGCGACCAGCGGCGACCGGAGGTGGGCACGGTCGCGCGCGTGCGTAAGCGAGGCACGAGGGCAGTAGCAGAAGGAGCAGCTAGCAGCGGCAACGGGGCAGCGGGAGGCCGCAGGCGCGCGCGTGGCATAGCCAGGGTGCGGCCACAGGCGGCCAAAGCGAGGCAGGGCGTGCCCCAACCGGCAGCAGGCATGGGGCATCGGCGAGCAAGCAGCGGTAGGGGGTGGCGCGAGCGGGCACGGGTGAGGCTGCAGGCAGCGGCATGCGAGGGAGGAGACAGTGAGTGGCCTGAGGTAGGTGCGACGGGGGCGCGTGCGCGGCCAGGGTGACAGGCCGCGGCGGCCGACTACAGGCGATGCGGGCGCGCGCGTGCGATCACGGCCACGCGCGAGCGGGCCTGGAGGGCGCGACAGGGGAGGACGAGCGTGCGGCATGGGACGGCCACGGCGCGGGGCACAGGCTCGGTCGTGGCTAGGGGAGGGAGAGTGCGTGGGTGGCCGCGGGCAACAGAAGCAACTGAAGCAGGCGCGCGTGGAAGCGAGCATTCGGTGGCCATGGCGAGCTCGGGAGGCGGCGGCTTACGGCAAAGGATTCGGGGGGTGGAAGGGGGAATCGGTGAAGGGACTCACAACGAGCTCGGGGGCCTGGTCGAGGAAGCCGTAGGGGTTGGGATGCAGCGAATCCGACAACGAACGGCAGCGGCCGTGGCGAGAAGAAGAGGCGATTGCAAACTTCTGGTGCTCCACTACTCGAATAGATGCGGGCAGGCGGAGTAATCATCGATGCTGACGCTCCTAGACATCCTCTCAGGCAGCAGGGAGGCTAGTGGACGCGACAACGATGATGGCGCGGCAGCAACGGCTCGGGCGCGATCTAAACAGAGAAGAGTAGGGCGAGCGAGGGCGATATGGTGTGTTAGGGTTTGTCCGTGGGGCTAGGGGTGGCCTTATGCACCGCCGGGGCACGCGGGATTGCCGTCGCATGGCCATTCATGGCCATGGAGGCCGCGCGCGCGTCCACTGTGCCTCCGGTGAACACAGAAGGGAACGATGACACTGATGGGTTGGGCTGCACTGTACACTTGCGGCCCAAGTACACAGTGGGCCTTTTCTTTTTCTTCTTTTTCCTTTTCTGTTTTATTATTTCATCACTGTTTTGCGATTAAAACAAATAGCAATTGAATTTTTCTAACAATGAAATTTGGCACATAATTATTAGCCATAATTTTGGAGAGGCCCACTAAGTTGAAGGTCAAATAAAATTTTATAAATATTTGTTTATTTTGAAAAGGGGTATTTTATTTGTTGTTGGACTACTTATTAAATCATAGGAATTTATCTATGAATCAAATGAGTTTAGTTTCCACATAATAATTTCTTAGTGAATATTTGCAAAATTATGAACTAGTTTGCAATTCTGAAGATGTAAATGTTTGACTTAGCATTACGAAATTCAAATTAACTGGTGATTTTTTTTATCAAGTGGCACTTAAGCTTGCTAAACATGATGACATGGCATCATTAGAGGGGAGATTGCTGTAGCATGATACTGGGGGTATTACATTTAGCTTGGGCACCGTATGATTCCATATATATTCCCATTGTAATCTCTTTTGATCAATAAAGCACAAGGAGAATCCCTAGAAAACATATTATAAGTATGTTTTCTATTTTCCTCATCCGATGTGGTATTAAATGTTTGTGCAAGAAATCATGCTTCAATGTAGGCTCCACAGGGCATCAACCGCACAAGCATGAGTTGTACGTCACAGATACAAAAATGGGGGGAAACGATTATACTTCTTTAGTGGAAGCAGCGTTTTGGCTCTTAGGTGCATCTGCACCCCGAGGGCGAACAGTAAAATTGTTGAAAATAGTAAATCAATTAAAATTTCTGATTTTTTTGTGATGCGAGATGCGCATGTGCGTGCCAAATTTCGTGGAGTTTGGACATTTTAGTAGTTGTCAGCAAAAAAGATAAATTTCAGGCATGTGAGAAACTTTTGAAAACAACATTATTTGGAGCTTATTTTGTCTTTTTTTGCCATGAGCTCCTCGAATTTCATTTAGCCATAAATTTTACAGGCACCTGGCACACTCGGTCATCTTGCATAAAAAAAGAAATCAGATTTTATGCTATTTTTTAATTCGCTGTTCACCTAGTGCAGATGAGCCCGAGCATCAACTTGAGTATCCGTTCCTCGGTTTTCTTTTTTACTCCGCATATTAGTTTTTCTTAGGTGGAAATATTTGAAATTTGACCAAGTTTATAAGAGAAAGTGTTAACATTCGTAGTATCAAACCAGTGTCATTAGATCCATCATGGAGTATAATTTCATAATGTATTTATTTTAGAGTATAGTTGCTAATATTTCTTGATAATTTTTTTGCTTAAGACTAACCCAATAAGCATAGTAAAAAGAAACATAGGGAGTGATAGCTAATAATTTGCGTCTTTTTGTACATATTCATAGCAATAAATTTGTTGAAAATGCCAAACAGAGATCGAGCTCCATGGATGCCTTATTTGGAAACTTCAAAAATTCAAACTTTTAACTTCTAAAAAATCATGAAAACAAATACACATATACCTAGATACATAATGTACACGTGTGCAAATTTTCAGGTCGAAATACATTAAAATGGGACATACAAAAACACAAATCCGGGGCTTTTTAGCATTTGTACTCCTCAAAGTCAATGATTTTTTATGCAGCTCGCAATTCGAGGTATTTCATCCCTGATTTTTTCACACATACACATTACATCCTTGCAAAGATGTGCGTTTTTTTAAGAATTTTTGGAAACCGAAAAGTTTGAATTTTATTTTTTTCAAAATAAAGGCCTCCATGAAGCTCAATTTCCAAAATACCGTACTCTAAATTTGTTAAGAATTGAATTAGAATATGAGAATAACGTCCCACAACATTCTTGTCATACATGAATTGTAGCATACCTAATCGTAAATGTAGGTTGATTGCTGCCTTTAGGGGAATGATTTGTTGCTGGAAAAAAATGATGTCAATGGCTTGCATATGATTGATGATATGAAGGGTTTGCAGGCAGTGGCGAAGCTAGGGGGACCAGCAGGGGCCTGGCCCCCCCTATGGCATTGTACAATACGAATGATTTTGTACTTATGGCTAGTTTAGACATGATGTTTAGACAAAATTAGCTTTCTTGGTCCCCTCTAAATGAGAATCACCATGCTCGGCCTCGTTTAAGCTCCAATCATGCCTCCGCCCCTGTTTGCAGGTGAGGGGAAACGGACTATGAATTGATTGCATGTACATAATGATGTGGAGGGCTAGATGACACATGTGGTGACATGGAATATGTGAACCTTGAAAGAAATAAAAAATATAGATATAGATATAACCAAAATGTGAAAAGGAAGAGAAAGGAGCACACAGTAGTGCCTTCTTTCTAAAGAAAAGACACTCATGGGGCATCTTAGATCTGATAAATATCAAAAAATCCAATAGCCAATGTCATAGATAGACAGCTAGACACAGAACTAGTAAAAAAATAAAAGGATATTGATTGTAGCCGCCAAGTTTTGTCCAAGTTTTGATCTCTAGCGGTCGGCTACAATCAACGGCGGCTAGAGTGGAAGTTGGGGTACATAACTCGTCGTAGTAGCGCATATTGATATTATAAATAGGCAGAAGTTATGGTGCCAACGAAATGTAAAACATAAAACAATTTAGAATAGCCTCGAGTTCTTAAACCATTTGAGATTGTGACCATCAGAGTATGGCAATTGTTTATGGACCCCAATAACTAGCAAACATTTGCCGTGGGACATGAAATTGTGAATGTTTTGTATGGCAAATTCTTCAAAAGCACGTGACAATTTCTTCACAAATTCAACAGAGGATTTTGCGCGAAAATTCCTGTGTTCGCTTGTAAGAATTGTCAATGCTTCCAACATATAAATTGACATGAAAAATGTTTGTTATAACTTGCACCTCCGACAAAACGTTCGCTGAATAACATTATTTATTCAGAGACGTATGTGCGGGTATGTAGGGACAAGTGAACCCAACCAACCAGACTGGAGCCTTGGAGCTGGATCCGATCGCTGAGGCCCCCGGCGCGGCAGCGCCTCACGGCCGGGAGGAAGCGTTGGCCGCCAGCGCCGCGCGGAGCACCTCTCCGAACTCAACGAGCCTGGCGGCGTCGGGCACGAGGTCCCCGACGGCTTCGTGCGCGCAGAACCGCACCGCCCAGGCCGCCAGCCGCGGCGTTCTGACCTCGTCGAGGACGGGAAGCCCAGCGATCCTCTCTGCGGCTCCGAACCACCCGATGTAGGAGCCAACGACGATGTCCAGGAAGCCGACGTCATCCCCACCGAAGTAGGGCTTCCCGCAGCTGCACTCCACGAAGGCCTCCTCCAGCTGCCGGAGCGCGGCGGACACCTGCTCCGCGGCATGAGCCTTGTCGCCGCCGACCATACCTCTCAATGTCCGAAGTGGTGAATGGAGCTGCAACCTCCCGGGACCGATAGCCATGATCAGTCACCAGAACAGTAAAATAACTTGCGTTCCAGATCCAGTGGTCACGATCGAATGGCTGGCTCACCTTGGAGTCGGCATACTCTGCCCAGAACCGGTGGACGGCGCAGTGGTAGGGGTCGGCCGGAAGGATGGGCTTCCCGGCGGCGGAGAAAGCTTCGTCGACGTACTGCAGGATTACCAGGGACTCGCAGACGGGGCGACCGCCGTGGAGGAGCACGGGCATCTTCTTGTACACGGGGTTGGACCTGAGCAGCAGCTCGCTCTTCCTGCCCACCGCTTCCTGGAGGAACTCGTACTCCACGCCCTTGAGCCTGAGCGCGATGCACACTCGCGACACGAACGGGCTCGCCCACCCGCCCACGACCACCACCGGCTCCGACATCGCCGCCGCCGCCGCCGCTGGCTCTTCTAACACACAAGCTCACAACTAACTCACTTTTATAACCCAGCTTAGTGGAACCACCGTAAACCAACGGTAATTTTGATTTGTCTTCTGGAGCAGGAAGATTCGAAACAACGCCGTCGACGGCGTCAGAGACCGATCGACGCCATCGGAGCGCGGCCGGAGTTGTCGGATCCATCCATCTTGGGGTAAAGGGCGCGGTTGGTGCGGTGCGTGATCGAATTAAGAACAACCAAATTGGACCAACAGTGGTTGTTGGGCGTTGTGATGGCGCACGTGGCTTGACATGTCCATTAGTGTTCCAGAGTAGAGAAGCCAGTGTGGGGGTGGTGGTCAGGGACGAGGAGGGGGAAGTTATTGTCTCGTCCTGGGATTTCATTGATGCTTGTCAAAGCGTGGAGGAAGCGGAGCTTAGGACTTGCATTGCCGGTCTATACATAGGTATTTCTCTTCATAATTCTATAATTTTAGAGACTGATTGCGCTTTTGTGGTTGCGTCTCTTGTATCAGGGGTCTATGACAGATCTGCTATGCGTGACTTGAAGATGAAAGCGTTGAGCATCTCAAAGTTGATCAACAATTTTCAATTGTCAAAGATTAATCGTTTGGTCAATATATTAGATGATATTTTTGTTAGTGATGTACCGTCGTGTGTGGTGAATATTGTATCGATTGAGTGTGCTGGAGTGGTTGGTTAATTAATATAAGGTGGTGTTTTAAAAAAGAGTGGAGTACTTTTTAACACGATAACATTTTTTTAAACGTCTGGTCTATTCATCAACTGTGAAGGTAGTAAAAAAATACATCCAGGTTCGTAGACCATCTAGCGACGACTATAAAAACTGAAGCGAGCTGAAGGTACGCCGTCGTCATCGCTCCTTCCTCGTCGAATCCGGGCAAAACTTGGTGTGGTAGACCGTCAGGATACATCTTGGTATTGAGCGACTTCGTAGTCAATGTAAACGCCGCCCGAAATGTATGAAATAAATCCAAAAAAAATGAACTTTGATGGTTTCATTTCACTGCAATAAATCTAACCAACTATGCTTGGTTCGCAGAACTGCAAAACAAATTAGAGAAGAATATTAGATTGAGAAGGGTTACAGTATTGCACATCTGAAGGTGGTGTTGAAAAAAACTCCCTTTCAACTCGTATCCCTTCCCGAGGCGACACGGGGAACCCTAACTCCCGCAGCCGCCAGCCCTCCTTGATGATGATATAGACCTAGGGTAGGGTAATAGGCCTGACCGAAACACCCTATCCAAGGTCACTACCCTAGAAGCAAAGGCACCAAAGAGACAACAAGGAGTACCAATTGAAGGCGTCGAGTGCAATCCACTCGACCAGTCATATCAATCGGGTACCCCTCCCTCCTGATGTCACTCGACCATACAAGAAACCACTCGACCTACTGAACACCAAGAGTCACTCAGGACAGCAACGGTCAGGCGTTCACTCTGTAGTCTTTAAGAGCATTAATAGCACTTTATAGCTGGTGTTATCAGTAACGCCCTCTCTTTATGTACATTGAACCCCTGTAACGGAGGTGGGCTAGGTCCTGGCGCACTCTATATAATCCACCCCTCCTCTGGGACAAGGGTTCGCACCCCCTGTAACACATACACCCATATTTCAGTCGACTGCCTCAGGACACCGAGACGTAGGGCTTTTACCTCCTCCGAGAGGGGCCTAAACTCGTAAACACTTGCGTACAATCTCACGTAGCTAGGACCTTTCCTCCTCATACGTACCCCCTATACTTACTGCTAGACTTAGTACCACGACAGTTGGCGCCCACCGTGGGGCAAAGCGTCTTAGCGACTTCCGGCGAGGTTGCTTTTTCTTCGATCTTCATCAACATGGTTTTCGGCGGCGGTTTGATCATGGGCGGCGAGTTCCGACTCGGCGCAATCACTTTCGTCGCCGACGATTCCGCATGGCCCCAGGAAGCCCCCCTCGATGTCGAGGCCCTCCCGATCCGTGGTTCGTCGCACTTCCGCGCGAGTGCGTGCGGCGTCCTCCTTCGGCAGCCGTCGACTCCGTATCAGTCAGTCCTCGCGTCATCGTCTCACTCTGTTGGACGGTGCCGCAAGTGGTCTGGTCGTTCGCGGCTCCAGCAGTGGGTGAAGCACGCGGTGGCTCGTCAGGCGTCCCCCCCCCCCAAGTCGTGGCGATCGAGCCCGACATATTTCACTACAGGTCAGTCGGCCTGTCGACTAATTTCGCAGACACCTTTTCCGAGAGAGGGAGTTGTGACCTTGCGGCGGAAGTCCTCACGGTCGACTCCCATCGCGGCCCACCTGGTTTTTGTCGCAGCAGCGGTGACGGCCTGTCATTCGGCCATGAGGAGTATCAGCCCCAACCTCTCAGCTCGCAGCAAAGGGAGGAGCTGCACCGCCGCAACGTGGAGGCTCTCCAGACCCCCATCATAGGGGAAACCGCCAAGGCTCGGGCCTTGGAGGCAGTGCGCCTAGCCACGCTGTCTGAGCGCACTCGTTTGGATAATCTCCAACATTCTCTTGACGAGTGTGCCCGTCGACTGATCCCCGGGTCCAATCGGCGTTCACAACAATTGTTTCTACCAGAGACTCAGGTATTCCGCACACCGATTCAGAATCTAGCAGCTGCTGCACGTATCGCAGAGTCCATTCAGCCGTCTCGTTCAGAGGCAGGAAGGGGTTTGGAACAGATCAGGGCGTTGCTTTGAGCAGCAGTAGACCAGAACTCCATCGTGTCCCAGTCACGGAACAGAATTCACAGTCGATCAGTAAGGGCAGACACTGTTCAGTCGGCACACAGTCCTAGGTCACCTTTGCGGCGAGGAGATCGTGATCACCGCCAAGATCGGCACCTGGGAAGAGCTCATGGAGAGTATGATCGTGAGTACGCCCGCGATAACCACCATCGAGCGCCTTCGCCCTTTTCGAGGGACGAGTCATACGCGCCCCGACGGTATGATGACAGGCGTCTGTATGGAAATTACCGCGGAGTTCCAGTCGACCCAGAGAGGTCGGCTTCGACACAAGGTCCGTCCTTGTGCAGGGTTTGGTCGACCGGAACAGAACATACAGAGAAGGGCTGGATAGAGATATGCCCAGTGGAAGCAGGGTCCACATCTTCGGCCCAGAGTGTTTTGCAAGAGCCATCAGAGCCACTGAGATCCCCCATAACTTCAAATTGGCAACTGGCGTCAGCAAGTTCACAGGGGAGTCAAAGCCTGACACTTGGCTTGAAGATTACCGAGTGGCGGTGCACATTGGTGGCGGCAGCGATGAGGTGGCCACGAAGCACCTCCCTTTGATGCTTGAAGGTTCTGCCAGGGCCTGGCTGAATCAGTTGGCCCTTGGGAGCATTTTGAGTTGGGATGAGTTGGCCCGAGTGTTTACCAGAACATTTGAGGGCACCTGCAAGAGACCTGTTGGTCTACCGGATCTGCAGCATTGCGTGCAGAAACCAAATGAAACCTTGAGAGACTATATCCAGAGATGGATCACTCTGCATCACACAGTGGAGAATGTGTTGGATCACCAAGCAGTCTGTGTCTTTAAGGAAGGCGTTCGCTACAGAGAGCTCAATCTGAAGTTCGGTCGGACCGGAGATATGTCCTTGACTCGGATGATGGAGATTGCCACCAAGTATGCTAACGGCAAAGAGGAGGACCGACTCCGGAGTCGTAAGCACAAAACAGTCACCCAGGACACCGGAGGAGGAAATTCCAGTCGGAAGCAGAAGAGAAAGGCTAAGGCAGCAGTGTTGAATCAAGGAAAGTTCAAAGGGAAGCCCAAAGGGCCTGGGATCCCTAAGAAAGTGAAGGACCAAGAAGTAAACGATGTGATGGATTTGCTGTGTCATATTCACACCAAGAAGGATGAAGAGGGGAACCTGATTCTCCCCAAGCATACAACTCGACAATGTCAACTCCTAATCCAGAGCTTCCGAGAAAGCAAACCCAATGAAAAGGACAAAGAGTCCGATAAGGAAGAAGAAGGTAAGGATGATGATGGTGGTTACCTAATGTCAATGCCACCTTGGTGATTTTTGCTGATCTCGAGAGCAAAAGTCGACTGAAGATCATTAACAGAGAGGTGAACATGGTTGCTCCGGCAACACCAAAGTATTTTGAAGTGGTCAAAAAACCCATTATATTCGACCAGTCCGACCACCCGCCACGCGTAGCTACCCCTGGGCGACAAACGCTGGTGGTCGACCCAGTCGTGGGAGGCACCCGACTGACCAAGGTTCTGATAGATGGTGGCAGTGGTCTGAATATCCTGTATGCTGAGGCCCTCAAAGGAATGGGCATTCTGATGTCCAAACTCAGCGAAATCAACACACAATTCCATGGAGACATCCCAGGAAAGAAAGCCGACTCACTTGGCCAAATCACTCTTGATGTAGTTGTCGGCGTTCTAGGAACGGGGGTCCCCAGACTTGCCTGCCTGCGGCCCATGGCGTGGCTCCACCAGGGGCCCAGTACAGCCCATCTTCATCAATCAACACTCAAGACCCTCGCGGGGCGGATGACACAAGGCCTCCTCAGGAGCGGCCTCACCAGGCAGGCTCGCGAGAAGGGCGGAGAGATCAAGGCAAGGGGTACCTCGCGAGGTTCCCATGATGCAAGCCATGACGACCAAGGCCAGGCGGGCGCCAGCGCGCACAGTGTCCTTGTTTCCCCTTTGGTGCTAAGGGGGCAAACGCAGGCGTGGAGTACCGAGGCATCAGGCATAGGTTTCCACATCGGTGCAACAAGACCAAGACCAGCAGGACGGCAGGACGGAGGTCACCATGGAGCCCAAGACGGCGTCACCACCAGAGCCTTTGGCAGGCGAAGACCACCTTTAGTCAGGATAACTTGTACTAGCTGTTCCCCTTCAAATTGGCCGTTGTTGGCTCCCTTCCCACTAAATATTTGGGAAGAAGACCAGGGCCTCTATAAATAGGACTAGCCACCACCTAGGGAGGAGGGAGATATCACCTTGAACAGAACCACCCACCAAGCACAAGAACACCTCGTGTCAGGAGGTTGTTCTTTCCCTTGTACTGTTCATCATCAGCCCAAGAGGCAATCCACCACACCACACTGGAGTAGGGTATTACACCACAATGGTGGCCCGAACTAATATAAATCTTGTGTCTCTTGTGTTGTGCGTTCATCGAGCTTAGCTTAGAGATTGCGG